ACAGTGCCTGGTTATTGCATGTCCTGTCCATTGTTACTACTTGCCTCACATATTATAAAAAGTTTTAAAGATAACAGATTCCCTGAAATCCAACTAGTTTTAATTCCAGTTATTTTGGGGTTTTATTGCACCTTAGCATATATACACACATGGTCTGAATCTCTTCACACTTATATTAGCGAGAATCAGCAACAGACTTCAGAAAAGTGAATATCTGTGTGAAACATTTCACACAGCTGTAGTTCTGAGGCCCCGATGAGTGGATTCCATTGAAGCCGGTGGTGATCTGAGTGGGCACAGCTGTCCACCCATGTGGGATCAGGGCAACAGAGTGAATTGTCACCCACGGAATTCAATGGGAAATTTACCAGTGACTTCAAGGGGGTTAGGGTTGGACCCTCAATCTTTTCTGCTATGCAGTATAGTGATCATGTGTCATATGCCAACAATTGTTTTTTAAATTGTGTTTAATAAAGTTGTGGCTAAATACCTCTTCTAACTAAGTAGACTGGTCTGTTGTGTTTATCTGTCCTCCCACAGTGGCAATGGCAATATGTTTACAAATGTGAATTTTCTTTAACCATGATAAGAAAACATTGCAGAGTTATGGCAGTTTTTTTGTATTTAAAAATCAATACAGACTCAGAATAATAGCAAAGCTGGTGTTCTTTATATCAATATATTGGTCCATTTACAGAGGCTTTCAAAAACGTTAGGGGTACTTACTCTATATGTAATTGTTATACTCACAACTGCCTATTAGTTTAGCTCCTGTTAAAAAAAGTGGTAACTTCCTCTGCCCATTTTTTCCCACTTCTATGCTTTTCTCCTTGAATAAATATCATAAAACATATTTTTCTACAAACACATAACATACATATACTACCACAACAGATATTCTTGAACACAGGATATTGTAAGTATCATAAACAGTACATCCAACAAATACATACAAAGCATGGATGCTTTTATATCTATGTGATAAACGATAGAGCTATATGATACATATATCTATCAAAAACCCTTGACCACCTCATCTGCTCTCTGCCCACTAATCCACATCCTCCAGGCCTTAATCTAAAATTCAAACTGTTGAGCAATTCCAAAAAGGTGTAATTCTTTTTTAAATAAATCAGCCACAGAAATATTCACTCTTCCCCCCTCCCCGCCCACAAATTAAGCTAGCTCAAGGCCCAAGACAAGCAGAATTCAGTCCTGAGTCAGTGACAGCTTTTTAATACGTAAAAATGTCAAAAATGTAAAGTCTGTTACCTTGCATCCCTGCAAATCTGACACTTGTTCATCATCGGCCTACAACCAGAGTAATTTCACATTTGGGAAGAGAAGGAAGAAACAATCCTTTGGCATATTGATTTAGATAAAAAAGTAATTATTGAAAGCATTAGAGGTGTTTGGAATGCTAAAACAGCACACAGATATCCACACTGAGTATTATCAAAATATTTTATAGTATATAAAAGATTTATGGTAAGGTGGCACTGTTCACATGTAGTCCATTGGAGATTGGGTTTGAAGCTAAATTGTTCTAGAGATTGGATTCAATGCTGTTGAAATCTGGTAAACTGTTGTCAGGAGATATTGGTCCCAACTAGTGGAAATCTCGCAGATCAGATCAGCTGCTTTCAAGGGATTTACATAATCTTTTACTGGACCACAATGAGAAACTATGATGGTCATGTATCAAAACATTTCAGTTACCTTAGGTAACTAAATATCCTTACCTCAGAATTTGCCATGTTTCAGATATTCTCTATGCTTAGGAAGCATAAGGAATCCTGCAAATACCGAAATTATATCATCTTATTATCTAAGGCAAAATTGGAAAGCGTGACCTTCTAGTTTTGGATCTACTCAAAATCAAAGTTGAAGGAGCAAGTTCAGATCAAAAGATCTGAATAATTTCTCCATTCCCTAATATTATACACATATTAATTACAAACTGCAAAGAATGCATTTGTTTGCCAATATATGCATACCCAAAGCACGCAAATATAGGCTGATGAACACACACCTGGCACTGTTTTATTGTGTTTATAACATGGTTAATTTGGGCTATTAAAACAATTAATATGAATCTACAAAAACAAAGAGCTCAACTATAGTATATTTATTTGATACCACTACAGGATATAACACAAACATATTTATAGTTGCAAATAATTGGATGCTCTTGGCAGTAAGATAACAATTTCTATTTTCTCTAGTATCCAGCATTTTCCAATTAAAACACTAGCAAGCTGTATCAAATAAGCTGTGTATGAAGCGTGAGTTTTTAAATTTCCTTTAGTTTCCTCTCCTTCTCTTCTTTCAATCTCTTAATTCTTTCTTGTCTCTCCTGGATGTCTTGTCCTCACCACTCTCTGTCCCCTGATTCTCTTAACTAATGCCTGCCCACACTGCATCAACAGGAAGCATTGTTAATTGGATCAGCAGGGATGAAAGATAGTGCCTGGAAGGTGTGTGTGGGGGGGGAGGGGCAAGAGCGTGTGCTTGGTAAGCCAGAAGAAGGTCCCTTCTCCAAAGGTGGGCCCGCCTTCCATTGGATGGGCTGGAAGGACCAGCTGGGCTGACTGGCTCTTGTTCTCTCCTCCCCCTTGTCTATTTAAATTCTTCCTGGGCTTTTTGAGTATCTCATTAGTCCCATTAACTGCTACCAAATAACTTTGTCCAGTGACGCCAGAAGAAAGGAGACACGTGGAGTTGCAGGTGCGACAATGCTAATTGCTGGTGCCCCCAGTAGCCAGTGTTCAATGTGGATAAAGACTAAAAGACCAGCTCCCAGAAGTACATGGCACCTGGGATTTCGCTGGTAGACCCTTGATCCTAAAGGAGAAAGGGAGACCTGAAGTCTGTGTGGACTGGTTATACGGACTGGTTATTGGTTAAATGGTGGGAGCCCTGTAAGCCCATACTGGACCCAGTTAAATGCCTTGTATATGGGTGGGGGTGGGCATATAGCACTCCTCCCCAGTATTAAATTACTAAAGTTGTGACCTGTTGCTTAAATCCATCCCTGTATCTGTTCATTCACCTGCATGCCCTGAACAATAGGCAGACACAGACTTTCAAAAGAGTCACTGTGGATAGTCCTGATGCAACCAAATACTCCAGAACTCAAGATTTGATCCTCTTATCTCTATTTGAAAAAATTAATGCATTTTGAGCAATTAGTGTTTGTAACCATAATTCAAAAAATTTGTTTCTTTTTTGCCTTTTTTTGCTTCAAACTGTAGCTACAGTATGCAATATTTTTGCCATGACCATGTCTATACAAAACACTCATATCCATACAACCATAGATATGCACAGATACATGCAGGCTGTACGCAACATACGTAAACACATCTGCCAAATGGTTACAAACCAACTATAATAGCAAGTGTCATTCTCTTCTGTAAAATAGCTGTTTTTAACACACATGATCTAACTCTTGTTTGCTCTTTAAAGTTTTATTGTCTTGGCATTTTATACAAGAAGAGAGCATTAGCATACTCAGGAGAACTGCTAAAAGTAAAAGGCCTCAAGCTACCTACTGCATGGTTGATAGCATAAAGCATGGGATATAAAAACTTTTGTCTGATTGCTCACTTTACTTGTTTTAGAGTAGTGTTACTCTCAAGAGCATATATTCATGTTCTTCTTCTTCTAGTTTTATTACTTCTTTTGTATTATTTAATACATTTAAAGACACTTCTAAAAGACAAATTTTTCCATTTTGAAACAGTAATGGTTTGGAACCTGATAAAACACATTAACGTTCACAGTGTTTTTTTTTCCCTCTCAAAGGTGATGTAGTAAATGTGTAACAAAGTAATTAGACACACAGTAAATAAACATTTCTACATGATTATATGTAGATATCTATATCTATATATCTATCAAAACAAAACCAAACAACCCCACCCCACAAATCTTTAATCTGTTAAAGGTCAAATAATATAGTAGAAGAAAAACAGAGCTTAGTCTAAATTACTAATATAGCTAAACAGCACTATATTAGAAATTAAAACAAACATAAAAATGTGAAAGAGAAAGCAATGAAAAAAGGCAAATCAGGTCAGCTATTTTAAATACAAGAAGAACTGAGAACATAACTGTACTTATTCCAGTATACATTTAAAAAAATCATCCTATGGTGAACTTAAATCTAAGTCTATTTAGATATCATATTCCTAATTATTATATAAATAACCTGGGAAACCATACCTTCAAGGTACATGTTTTACTATTTAGTAAACAAAAACTGCTACATTTGACACCACTGATTAAGGCCAGGCATTTCTAAAGCTTCATACTCATTTCTGAAATCCACAATACATCAATTTTTAATACTTCCACTCTCTCAGCTCCATTAAAAAGATGGTAGGGGAAAGATTTTAGAGTAATTAATGATATAGTTAGCTGCTAAATATTAATAGGAATCGTAGTCTTGCATAAAATATAACATATAAACCTTGCCAATACAGACGCACCAGTAATTAAAGTTGAATATGTAATTACACTGATTTATAAGACAGGCAAAAAGTTGCACTTTACTAGCTTCTATGTAAACTGTAGGTAATAGTTAAACTTTGCATTTTATGGTTTATATAAATGGGCAATATCTCCACTACAGTTCATAAATGGTTTAGAGACTTGTAGTGAAAATTACAACTAATTCCAACATGAAGATTCTTACTGTACCTTAGAGCCAGAGCTGTGACAATGACCACACACATACAGATACATCTTTCCATAGAATCCAATATTATATGCTTGGTAGTGAGGAAAAAATGGTACTGAATAATGTTTATACAGAGAGGCCCTATACATGTATACATGGCACCTATACAGCAAATAGGCTTCCTATGAACAAATGAGTCTCAGGAGCCATTTTAATGTTTAGTTTTCAAGTGTACAGTTTTAGCTTTTACTTACCTGTGCTTCAAAGTGCTTTTTCAGTAACTTGGAGTTTCAAAGAAATGCATAATTTTTTTTCTAAAAAACTCTGCTAACCACTCACTTACATGTGAGGCTGAGGAGAGCAGCCCGGACTGCTATTTCCATTACTGTCAATGTGATCCAGTGAACCATTGAGATCTTCATGGACTGCCTGCAGTAAGCCACTGGATGCGTTATTTATCAATCCTGGGTTACTAAGCAAAGGTAAACTACTCTCTGCCAGTGCAGCCTAGCAAAATAAATAAGATATAGAATTCTTAGCCCGTTTATCTACAAAACAGTTTTCATATGTATATACACGTGTACCCGCATGCACACAGAGCTGCATTTTGTACAGTGCAAACAATGATCAGAAGTTTTTGTACGGTTCACAATTATTTTCACACGTTGGTTACAATGGTATCTACATTACCGGTTTACTATTTGTGTTAAATGTGTTGAACTATCAGATATGCTATGGCATGCACAGTGCATTCTGTCTTCAAACTATTTCTAACTTTGAATTACACTAACCCTTGTACTCTGCCACACGATGCACGGTTCCTTTGTAATGTAGGCAGCTGCTATACTTCTAAAAATGACCAGAACTTAACTCAAAATAAAAAAGTCCTGACATTTGCCTCTTATGCATAAAAATTATATATTATAATTAAATTTTAAAGTTTTTGCCATGAGCACCATGTTCCCCAACACTATGATGTGAAATCATTTATGACAGCTTGGATAAATATTAATGCATATCCACATGCTTTTGCAAAAGCTTCTATCAATCTAACATTTGCAGCAAAACTGAGTGTTCCAGATTTTGCCACAGGGTGTCCTTCTTGCTTCTTCACATCAAAAGTAGCATGAATTAGAACAGTACTTCTTGCAGTGCTAGGTAATACAACTTACTTGGATGATACACCCAACTATTAAGAATGACCACAATGCCCATATAAACATAAATGGGAATAGTTCTACTCCTAATATAACAGCAAAGAAAGTATGTCCCACATAAGAACATAATGAATACGTGAAAGGAAAGAATAATTTAGGATTTTTACCTGCAAGCTTGCATTAAGAGCTGCTCCGTAGCCTAAGCTGGTGGGTATGTTTTTCACTAATGTTGGGCTTCTGAAAATAAATGATTTTTCAAAGTTTAAAGAAAGGCAGGGATGCTGGGTGGCTCAGTGGGTTAATGCATTGGATTTTCAGCTCAGAAGAGCAGGGTTTCAAAATGACAAATGAAATGAGGTGGGGGGGGGGAGTTCCGTCTATTAGACCACAGTGATTTATTTATATCACAGACCCAAACTATTCACTATAATTTGACCCACATGGAACTCTGCTCAAGAGAGAAGGCCAGTAGTGAAACATGAGGGTTTATTCTGATCTGGACTGAGATACTCTGGCATAG